CTTCAACTTTTTCGATAGGCGTGACCATGAATTGGTACAACACCACGATGTTTACGCTTAAATAAAAGCTGCTGACCCAAAATACTGTACAGAAAGAATTCAAAACAATTATGGCGACAAAAAAGAGAGTAAATCATTCCAACAACAAAAGAAGATGTTCTGCAGGAAATTTGGATGACCTTCTATGAAAGGATTGAAAATCAAGGTACGCAGACTTTAGCTGTTTGGATGTTCCTTGAACTCTTGGCGAATATGCAATGTACTAACTTCGACTAGGAAGCGAGGTGTGTAACTGATACCAGCTAGCTATTTGGAGAAGAAGGAGCACAATTGTTTGTGAAGTCTACAATCTTCATTCTGCATTTTGCACCCAGCCTGCGTTTTACTCTCAGTCTGCAGTCTGCATTTTACACTCTATCTGCATTTTACCCCTGGTCCGCAGTCTGCAGTCTGCAGTCCGCAGTCTGCGTTTTACACTGACCGGAATAATTATCCTCAAAACATTCGAACTCGTAACAGCCAATTCCATGCTCAACGTAATTGACTCCTTACCCATGCCTTACATATCTTTAATCAGTACATGAGACTGCTATACTGTTTTTGAAGCCTGATGTGACTAAGAAAAATAGAGAATTATTTTTTCACTGTTTGTTTTTGTTAGACTTGTTATTCACCGCCAGTAACCTCATATTTGACTTAGGTCTAAACGTTTAGACCCAAGTCAAATTTAGAAGGATTCATGGAGTCATCAGAGCATAACTGGGCTAATATCTCAGAGACAATTTGTCCGGAAATGCTAGTTTTTGTCAAGTAGGCCTCTTGGATGTTGCTCTTTTCAGAATATCCTGACAAATCCCATAATTTCACAAATTAACACCTTACTCTTACCATATTTCATTTCTTACTATTCCTCCGCATTTGCAATTAATTAGTTCCTCAACCACGACGCCGAAGTGTACGCTCCGTAGCTTCTTGCTAGGTTTTGGTTTTGGTTTTCATTATATGATTTAAAAGCCAAAACAAAACTGAAAATAAGAATTTAAGGCATATATGAAAAAAAAAAAAAACACGAAGTTAGAGAAGTCAAAGCAAAACTGAAAAGTAAAACGAAATAGATGGGTAAAAATAAAAAAGTTAGAAATAAAAAGGGAAAAGTAAAAAATAAAAACCGAATGGCAAAATAGCGAAGTGAAATCAAAACGTTACTGCGCTTTTCATAAACATGCGAATTCTGAAGTTCAAAAGCCAACTGACGATTGCGTTTTTCGCTGCCGTCAATCATCTTAACGGACCTCTTAGGAAACAAAACTTTACAGGGTTTAAAGGGTCATGGTTTTTATTTGTGATTGGTGGATTTGGATCCGTTTTGTGTGTTTCTGTGTTTCAAGGTTCGTTTCTTGTGATCGTAATTATGATTGACAGCAGCGAAAAACGCAATTATGAACGCGGCTTTTGACCTTTAGAGTTCGCATGTTTGTGAAAAGCGCAGTAAAAAATAAAAAAGGAAATCTCAGCCGAAAAGCAAAGTAAAAAGCAAAACGTTAAAAACAAAAATGGAAAAGTGAAAAAAAAAAGGGACATCACTAAGTGGCCCCCCCTGGGCTTCCGTACCTTAAAGAGCTGAAGAGGGAAATTGAGCGTTACCAGGAGCTACTTGGCGTCAGTTATCTTTCTCTTCGATTCGCTGGGTTTTGAATAAATATTGCATCCGGTAGATTAACCGAACAACCCAGAATAGAACAGAATAGAATAATTTATTTAATGTCCAAGACGTGGGAAGTGCTTGCACAATCTTCCGAGCCAGAGGCTCATGTTAAAAACGCTCGACAAACTAAATATACAAAACAAGATAAAATGTGAATTATGCATATACAAATATAAAAAACCTATGTAACTATTAAGTACATTGTAATTTTAATTTATTCCGCTATTCCGTCAGTCCGTCAGTCCACCATTCCTTCCCATATAGTCACCCACGTGCGGGTGAAACAAGTACTTTTTGTTTATAGACCATTCCTCGGCTTTCGTACATGAGACCCTTCCTTGACAGGCGTGCCATAATCCAACATGGAGGATGATCAGACAACGTCCGCGACACAAACTCGTTGTTGTAGTTGCAGTTGCTGTGATATTCTCTGGATCGTAACCACAAAGGAGGGATGGCCAAAGCTCATTGAAGCAATCATGACGTTTCTAACCTTCGTCATTTGTGCCGCTTTTCCCTTCACCGACAAACCAGAGTATGAGTTCCTGATCTTCGTCGCCACAACTTTGTTCATTTTGATGGTATTGTACATCATCCTTGGCACGACTCATCTACTTGAGAAGCTACCTCCAGCCCTGAGACATCCCATTCTTGGCGTGGTGTTCTGCTTTTTTGCTTTCTTGACCCTGCTGATCGGTTCTGGAATCGTGTTTGCAAGAGGCTCAGACTTTCACATTCGCACTTTGGAGGCTGCGGGGATTTGCGGTTTCATTTCATCAGGACTATTCTTTTTTGAAGGTGTTTACTACTTCATCCTCTATCGCCGAGCACCAAGACGGCACGCAGAGCAAAAAATACCTCAAGAAGAACAACCTGGTGATGTTCTGCAGCCTTCCAAACCCGAGTACTGACTCGTTCTTGAGAGGGAACTTTATTGGTAAGTATAAACCATGTCGCGAGAGTTTATATAATTAGTTTCAGGCACTAGCGATAGCCCTGGAGGACGTTGGGCAATCAAAACAAGTCGAATGAACTAATTTAGAAGTGGAACACAATGTCAAACGCTTGAAACTTTGCGTTTCTTCAAAATGCTATATTAACCAGAAAAAATTGTCCCACGTCATTTTCCCGCTTGAGCAAACCTGCATTTTCCGGGGGGTACACGCAGCTGAATCCCTTAGGAGGGTAATCAAAAGAGTTTTGTATGGGGAGGCTCTGCCCGGAGGTCCAATCCCTTACCCTTTTATATACCATTTTTGATGGAAAAGGTACCCCTCTCATATGCATCACATTCACAAATGATACCCCTAAAAAACTAGTTTAGAACTCTGCGTCCCTTTTATCCGTTGTTTTCAATAATGAATAGCCCACAAAACCAGGATGTTTTCTTGACTTTTTGGCAGCCTAATAAGGTTAGCTCTTTTGGGTTTTTTTACAGACCAAAATGACAGAGGGTCCACAATAGGTTTGGCGGGATGTGGGATTTGGCTATTTTTTGTGGTGATACTCGGGATGCAAGCTAAAAAAAGGAGCAAGAGGCGGGAATTTTGAGAATGAGCCGGAGCGGGATTTCCTATTTTTATTGGGTTGGGATGCGGGAATCGTAAGGGAAAAGTAGCTGTATACGGCAATTAAGTTTTGTCATGACAACATTTTGACTCTTTTGTGTACACAGCCCTTGTACAAGGATCTACTTGTCGTCAAGGAAATGAAGCCTGTCAAATTTATCCATTATTACCTTAGCGTGTTTTTGTCTTATTCCGGTACTTTTTAAAGACGGCGTGCGCAAACAGTCAAAGGAGAGGTCCGAGTGAGGCCAAAAAACGAATTAGACTAGGCACTGAGACGTGAAAAATATGCAGTTAATTTTATACAGTCTTTGCCTGTACTTTGCACCTTTTAAAACCGATTGTGAGAAAAAAAAAGACTGTTTTGCAAACTATTGCAGATCAAGTGCACCTATTTTTGTGCCGATTCAAGTATGGAAGAAAATAGAAAGATTTTAAACAGGAATGAGGACAAGCAGCAGTACAAAAGAGAAAGAAATCGAGGACGGAGTCCAAGAAGGGTGGAATAGTAAACTTTAGGGGGTTGTCTGCATTTGACTGTGTTGTTCGATTCCGTAGCAGGTTTTTTGTTTCCATAAAAGAGAACATTTTATCAATCTGTGCAACCAGTGTGTTCATACACATTTTCCATGACCCGTAGACAATTCAGGGTGGCTTCATCGCCTAATGCAATCTAGCAGTAAAGCAATAGAAACATCCATCCACCCAACTCAACTGGCTGTTTCCAAGTGGCCAGAACTCAGACCGAAGTAAACCTATGCCTATTGCAAGAAGGCAAGTCTTATACATTGTATAACGTTTTAATATTTCAATAATGAGAGCAAGAAACTCGTAAAAAAAATTAGGGCGGGATCGGGATTCGGAAGTAAAAACAGGCGTGATAGCAGGATTGAGAAGGAAAAACAAGTGGGAAGGCAGGATTTGAGAACCCTATTGTGGACCCTCCCTTTCCCTCCCCTTTTATATACTTCAACTAGTGAACTCCCTACCCTTTCATATACCTGAGACCTGAAAAAGGTGCCCCTTTTGGGTGGAGCCTCCCCATTAAGCCATTATAGGGAGTACCCCCCCCCCCCCTCATATATTAGTCCAGGTTTAGGGTTAGGTTAAGCGACTCAAAATGCCACAAAAACATAGAGGCCCACACCAAAAACAATGTAAGTAATCTTTATTCATCCTTCTCTCCTTACATTGACGTTTGTGATCAAAAGGTGCAAACTTTTGTGTTTTATGAAGCATTTCTTTTGATCACTTAAATGAGGCTGGGAGCAGGTGTTACAAAATACAGTATATGTGTGAGATCACGTGTTGCGCGTGACATCACAGTGTTTCCAACTGTTTGAATGGTCTGGCTGTGGTTTGTGATAAGAAAATGCAAAGGTTGGGGAAGCTACTTCCCATTGGCCATTTCGGAGTTGCATAGGGAACTGGGGCAAGTTGCAAATTTAAACTAATCGATAAACTGACTCAGGAATATAAAAGGTCATGTTGAGATTGGTTATTTGACCAGGGTTGTCGCTCTAAGGTTGAACAGGGATCAAGGTATGACTCTTGAAACATGGTTATAAAAGATCCATACAAATGTCTGCAATCAGCTTCCCACAAAACCATGTAAACTCTTAATTTTTTTCACGACTTCTGTGATATTCCTGAAAATGGGCAAACATAGTTATTTTCAAATTATTTCCTTCCAAGCAGTAGATGCATGACAAATTTTACAGTTTAACAGAAAACAAAGAAAGATGTATGATTATTTTTTCAATTTGCTGGTTTTGCCTCTGAAATATTTACACTGTTTTTTGTGAAACATACACTGCAATTATCTGCTGACCACCACGCAAGGTGACCGCTTTGCAAGTTGCGAGAACATTGTTTCTTGCTCCCAGACCTCGTCTCTTCCCCCCCCCCCCTTCCACCCTTGTTGTGAACAGTCTGGTAATTTAAACTCTCCTTCCTAGAAAACTATGTTAACTTGTGATGGTTATTCTTGATCTCTATTTTCATTATTCAGAGGTAATATGATAAACCCTCAATCTTACAGGGAATAGTAGCCTGCAGACACAGATGCATTTCCGGCTGATGTTTGTCTAAGGACCCCTCTAAGGCTGCGTGGATGCATCATCTATTTCCGTTGTTGCTCGTGTGAAAGGGTCCCACAAGTAACAAAGAAAATAGGAGATATGTACATGCAGGCTATTGTTTGTGTGGCTGAGAAGCTGATAGCTACAGGTGTTTGCAGGTCATGGCTGCTGTATGTGACCATCTTCTAATTCTTGCAAAGTTATTATTTTGATATTTGTTGTTACTTTTTTTCAGGTAGAGGTGGTCTAATTCGTTAAAGAAACAGAGGAATATACTAGTAAAAGATAAAAGTTTCTAGTAAGTAATAAAAAATGGATTCTTTTTATATATAAATGTTGAAGAAATAGAAAATGTGTAGTGAAGTTAAAGAATTTGTGGCACTTTGAACAATGAAATTCGTGACTTGTTAATCTTGAGTGAACAATAGATCAGTTACTAGCTTGATAGGAACTGGAAATATAATATAAGCAAGCTTGCAAAAATGTGCATAGTGTAAAGTAGATAGTTAAAGGTGCTTTCCGATCAGAATGGCGTAAAAAGCTACACCCTTTAAACTGGGAAGCAACACCTATAAAGACTAGTTTTTTATAAGTACTGTATAACCTCCACCCACCTTTAACCGCTCTGTGGTAGTAGCCAACTTGAAACCTTGGCTCCTTTGGCTGCTACACACTTTTTTCCTTTGTTATGTTTAATTCAATGAATAGTTAGCTCTGTAATTCTACTTCTTTTTTTTTCCATATTGTTGTTGTATTGTAATTGAAGAAGTGTGAATACTTGAACTTGAACTTTACAAGTTGTTTTTTAAAATTAACTTTATTAAATGTTAAACACTTAGTGGCTGCTCCCAAGGAAACCATTATTATTTTTTCCTTTGAATCTCGATACTTCTGAGCCTGCCCTCATGGAAAATTAATATACTTTTAGTACACAACATAATGTACTAAAAGTATACTGCTGTTGGGTGAAAAAAGTATACTCTAAGTATACTTTAAGTATAGTGATAGTTTAAGTATACTTTCAGCACATTGCTTTGCTTGCACCTATCAGACTGTACTCAAAGTATACTTTGAGTGCATGCCTATTATACTAAAAGTATACTTTGTGTATACTTACTATAGTGAAAGTCTAACAACAGTCAACAAGAAATTGAAAAATTTATTTAGAAATATATGATGATCTAGATCAAAACTGCAGATTTACAATAATTAGTAGTTAACTAACAAACAATTAGCTGAGACTTAACTAAAAAAGATATAAAACATCATAAAGTAGCTGTTGTGGAGACTATACAAAAATCCTGTTTGCAGGTTAACAAGAAGTGCAAACCTTAATTACTTAAACTTTTAGCATTAAGAGCACTATAGTGTCCTGTGGGTAAGAAAGTACAAAACATATTTTGTTTCGTTTGTTATAGCCACATATGCAATTTTAAAAATAATCACTAAGGGAATTTTCAGTTGAAAGGCATGATTAAATGAAACAATAAACACCTTCAGCTCTCATATGAAACTAGACAAAATAAATTGAATCCTGATTGATGATGGTCTTCTTAACTTAAAAGATTTAGAGATACTCACATCAGTAGTCAGCGACTTCAAATAACCACTAATGTTTTGTCAGATGAACTGGCATTGCTTGAATACTATATACTGAGTCCTTGATTCAGCTTGGCCAACAAGGCTCAGGTATTTTTACAGAAGTCTTTATAACTGATCATAAAAAAGTATTTAACTTCATTAGTTAAGTAGTTTTCATAGTCAGGTAGGTGACAGAAAAAAAGTAGCTAATTATAGTTTTGCAAAAATTTGAAATCAAAATCTGAAATAAAGAACACATCAGAGGTGGTTGTTACAGTCTAAAAATGAAAAGAAAAGTCCTCAACTGTAACAAATACTGTACTGTTACTGTTAGATGGAAGGATTAAGTTTTAATATCATGAGGGCATGTATCCAAAACAATGAATTAGTTTATTAAATCACTGGGTTATTAAAAATTTGCCCCATATAAGGGAGTCTTTTTGCTTGTTGAATCCGGAATCCGGGAACATTTTGCTTGTGGAATCCGGAATCCTTGTCCGTAGAATCCCGAAGATGCAGCTCAAGGAATCCGGAATCCCACTAACGATTGGAATCTAGAATCCAAGTTTCCACTGACAAAGGCTGAAATCTAGTACCCGGAATCCGGAATCTACCGCGTGAAATCCAGAATCCAAGACCCTCTTGGATTGCATTAGATGTGGTGAAAAAACGTAGATCAGTTGGGTCACAAGTACTCCATCAACAGAGTCTCAAGAGCCTATATAGCTGTGCCAAAAGTGTTAAAATTCTGCGCTCAGTTCCTCAAAAATTAATTCTGCTCAAATTTTAATCTAAGATTATTTTAGTCCAATTTTTTTTTATTATTCAATATTATCCCTTCAGTACTCGCTCCGAGATCAAGCTATGAAAACACTAAACAACATGTAGGACAGGGGCGTCGATAAAACCAGGAACATGGAACATCCTGGAACATCCCGGAACATGAAAAAATTGAAATATTTTTTTATGAAACAGTAATTAATTAATTAGATAAAAATATTAATAAAAATAATAATAATAAATAATAATAAAAAGAACAATAGATAGAAAACAATTTTTGCAAAAATTTATAATAACAAAATAAATAACATAACATAACATAAAAACGAAAAATAAAGAAACAAAGAAAGAAAGAAAGAAAAAGAAACTGGTATCATTTCTATTTTTTGGGCGAGTGAGGGTCCATTCAAATGACAGTAATGAGTGAAGGCTTGCTTCTAAATTCAAAATATATTAAAATGGTTCGCGAGGAGGGGGTTTTCAAGCTTTCCTCACACAGCCACCTCTTGTAAATGTTTTCTTTCTTCTTTCAATCCTGTATTATGGACCTTTAGAAACTGAAATTGTTCATTACAAGAACTTTCCGGCTTTGTTGTTGTTTCATAAACAATTCATCTTAATAGCTCAACTTCAAATGAATGCACGGACTGTTTAGTAAAAAAAGAAGAAGAAGAAGCAGATCGGGAGAAGAAACTGTAAAACCTCACAAGCATTGACATCTTTCTACAAAAGAGTGAAAAAGTATAAAGAGAAACCATTTATCGAAAGATACGTAAAGGACAGCACTTACCTTTTCAGCCAGTAGTCTCTGATTATGAAAATGAAATCCTCATCGAAA